AACACCACCACAGAAACCAACAATTCCTTAATAGCAACAACAAAAGAAAACAATTGGTTTTGTCACCTTTTGGATGCAGCCAGAGAAAGGGTAACAAGAAACAATTTTAAAACAGTTTCCCTAGCCTTAGAGAAAGCCAAATCTCAAGTTGATTTTGACAGTGATAATTTCCCTAATGCCACCTAGTGGGCACCTCATACAAGATTACATTAAAAAATCCAAGATCATATTCTTCAGCCTCTTTTCTTTGTTCCCAAATGAGCCTTCTTTCCACTGAACTCTACTACTGTATTACTGTTGCAGAAGATTTATTCCTTACATTCAAATGATATTGTGCTCCTTTAAGATCCTGTGTATTCTCTCTGAAATTACCATTGAGGAGATCTACCTGCTTTGCTATACATCTCATATTTTAATATAACACAGAAACTTACCTGCTTTGCTATACATCTCATATTTTAATATAACTCAGAAACTTACTAGTTGAATAATAAGCTGAGAAGCTTCTCCTTGATTTGCCACAGGAAGCAACACCATGCCAAGTTCGAGTACCACAAGTTTTTGCACTCCTAGGTAGTACTGATCACTGATTGGGGTTTTCTCTACGATTACAATTCCCCTCAGACTGCTGGCCTGTATTGAAAGGAAAAAGACGTTAGGAGAAACCTTGTTAATGACAAGTTAATGCAATGTAACAGAGGGAAATTCTTTCAAGTATGAGCTGCCTAATAGCAAATCAGAGGAAGAATGTAAGTTGCAGCAACAGGACAGAGATTTAATACAGCTGCAGAATTTTTCTGTTCCCACATGAAAATTATCCCAAAAGGTCATCTCCAATGGAATTAAAAAAAAATACAAGAAGAATGTTTTCAGAAGCATGGAATAAACAAATATCAAGTGAAAACTCTTCTCTTTATATACTTACATTTCTAAACTTCACCAATCTTCGTTTGAATTCATCCCCTGCAACCAAATCTGCTTCAGAAATAAGTAAAATGCAAGTTCTGTTTGGAAGATGAAAGTCCACCAGTCCCAAGCCATCTTCAAAGATGAGTCTAACTTTCCCTTAGGGTAAGATTGTTAGAAGAAAAAACACAGTAGTTAAAAATATACTAACAATTATTTCACAGCACAGCCTTCCTAAAGTGTCAGTAATTCTAGTGACTTGATAATGAACTTTATAAAAAGCTTTTTTTTCCTTTAAGTAAATCTATTACAAGCAGTCCAAACTATCTTTAGTAATGCAAATTAATAGCAGTTCCAATCCACAGATTTTAAAGCACTAAAGCTGCCCAGTAAACTGTGGACTTGAACAAAAATATCACATGCTTTGCTGGAGGGAGCATTATAATTTAGTTTGTTGTGCCAGCATGACAGTAGCAGAGTACAGATGTAAATTCAAGGGAGATCAGTGGAGATGCAAATCTGCAAAGCCCCACACCAGCAGATTCTGCCGCTTCCCTGCAGTGCTCTGAAAACTGAGCTGATCACACAGATTTATGACAAACAAACGGGATCTTTCAGCCTGCTAACAGTCCATACCACAAATATGGGACCAGTCAGGCACAGAGTAAAGCACATTCCAGCTGTTCTCAATGTTACTGGGCAACAAAAGGGAATGTTTTGCCTGACTTGCTTTTTCTCTTCCAATTTGTGCTTACCTTGTAGCCTTTGGGCCAGCTCCGAGCCTCTCCACTTCTCGTTTCCAATGACATGCCCTAAAGGGACAACTATAGATCCTGCTGTCACAGGAGAGTTTGCTTTTGTTGTCATCAGCCCTCCTTTAAAATCCTCCTTCAGCAGCAGTTACACCCTAGAAAGAAACGTGGAAAAACAGCAACACATTTTACAAACCTGTTGCAAGCTTATAAATTTTAAACTTAGGATGCAATATTCTGGAAGAGACACTATCTCCTTCCACAAGCTTCCTTACAGCTAAGGTGAAAATCGGCCAGCAGCTCTGTTCACTTAATACATGCTGTTAACTTGCAAATTCCACTTTCAGCTTTACCGCTCAGCCTGAATTAAAACACACAGACGGTGAAAAATCCCACATTGCCTTTTCCATACCTTCATCCAACTTGCTGCGAGGAAATCTTCCTGAATTACAAAGCCGACTCCAGAGGCACCTCCATCCCTCCGCTGGTGGAAGTCTCCAGACCAATTATTAAAAGGCGGGAGGGATTATGTCCAGGTTTGCCAGTTTTAGCGGTGTTGACTTTACGAGCCTTGGAGGCTGAGGCATGAACTAAAGGACAAGCACCGCAGGCAAGCCGGTACCACACCGACACACATCCCACGGCGGAGACCGCAGGGG